ATAAAAGACAATTATATCTTAACAGTCCGGAGTGGACTACTAGTGTGGAAAACAAACGGAGCCTATGAGTTAACCAAATCAGCCCTAAAGGCTGGACAACTTTATTAGATGACGTTTAATAAATTTCTCACAAAGTAAAAATGGTGCTTTAATATTAAAAAATGCAGATGTTCAAAAAATACTCATTTATTTGTCTTATTTATTATTTTATTTTTATAGTATTTATTGATATATATATATATATATTTCATTTGTACACTAAAATAAGAGCCTAAGAACTTTTTAGGCATTTGATTTATTATATGATACTTTTATAATTACTTTTAAAGACCACTAATTGTTATCGTTATAGTTACAAAAGCTTAAAATAATTAATAATAAGTTGTACACAAGAAAAAGGGGATCAACAAAGTCTTTGAAGCACAAATTTTCAAGTTTACTAAACTATTAGAGGGGAGTTCAATGATTAAAAAAGGGATTATACTAAACTAATATATTTTCTAAATACGTTATATTTGAGAAAGCAAACTAATATATATTTGGTAACTGATACAAGGGAGTCTACTATATTACGAGGCTTTGGCAGAGTCTATTAAATATTGTACTGGATTCATCAATAAAATTTAATTTTTTGTTGATTAATAAAAAAAATTGTAAACTTTGAAACATCCTACAAATTCCATCCTAAAAATATATATATAAAATCAAGTTTAACATTGTCACTACTTACAAATCTTTGGATGGATTTGTTTTGCATTTTCACCAAGCACCCACTAAATAATTAAGAATGACAAATTAATTTTTTTGAACAACTATCATTTTTCATAATTTTCCAAACAAACACAATATTCACTAGGATAGTTATTTTTTAATATCTAATCACATGACAAAATAAACATGAGACACAAATCATATCTAGCCAAATAGTTTATGAGCAAATAATCCTATGACTAACCGTCCATAGATTGTAATCTTCTTTTAGATAGTCTATCCAAATAAAGGTATTTGTTTGGAGGAATTAAGGCATAGGATTGGATTTCATATCCAACACCTCAACTAATTTGTTATTTAGTTTGAAAAGTGAAAACACGGACTATTAGTCCTTTATATGTGAGATTATGATATCTTTAGGGAATACAAAAAAGTTGAATAATTTCGTCTTCGAAGTAGTTGGTGAAAGGACTAATTTGGCCCCAACTATTTAATATCTAATTTTCTTCTTTTTTTTCATAGAACATTTTCTTCTTCTCAATCAAAATGAAAATGGGGTCTTATGCAACAAGTATATTGGGAGGTGGTGGTTGATATTTATCTGTGTTGTCCAACAGCAATCACTTACGCGTTGAATTTTTTGTTTCGTTTTCCAATCACAATATGCCACATCTTTATTTGAGTTCAAATTTCAACACTGTAATTTTTATTGATGTCGATTTTAGTGTCATGTATTACACTTGATTTATCAGTAAATTTTTTTTTTATTGACTAACAACAAATATTAGATAAACTTTAAAACATGTTACAAGTCTCACACTAATAATAAAATAAAATTTAAAAGTTAGATTTAAAATTGTCATTATTTTAGTAAACAATTCAAAAGGACAAAATAATTTTTTAAATAGTAATCATTTTTCATAATTTCCCAACAAATATGAAATTTATTACAATCCATCTTTATCCAATCAATCCAAACAAATAAGACCTTGAGTATTAACACTTTTCTGCAAGCAAAAATTAGGAAATGAAAAATGAGAGAAATGGACTAATCTTGATTCTTCTTTTTTAATTTTGGATACAAACTAATCTTATCCTTTCTGTGTTGATGAATTTTCAAAAATAAAATCAATTTATTTTTTGGTAGTTTCAAAAACTTTTCTTGATTTTTTCTTAGAAACTCTTTTAAGTGTTATACGTTGTCCCACATCTAAAACATGAGAGAAATATATTGAGATAATAAACACTCATAAAATATTCATTGCAATAAGAAATTATGGGAAGGATACTAATGTTGATGCTTGTACTGTTCAGCAGATTCATATACTTTTCATAATTGTCATTATCTTCCCAAGCACTTGTCATTGTCTTCCATGGGATTCTTATTTATACTTTTCATAAACCGCGTTAAATAAATAGCTTATCATTTCATTCAGTAGTCACGCGAAAATTTTAAATTTTTTTATATACTTGTGAAGATGAAGTCAGTCCCCATTAACAACGCAATTGGAGAGACTGCTGCGATGGAAGGGTAGGACAATCTTCACTGTATTTAAATACATTAAATATTATTATGTATTAAACAACAATTAGAATATGAAGAAATAAAGAAAAGAAGAGAATTTATTTGATTACAAAAATCAAACTCGAAATACAAAAAATAAATAAATAAAACAGATTTTATTTTGTTACAAAAATAAAATTAAAATCTGATTTAAATAAATAAAACAGAATAATAAATTAAACAACTTACTTGATTAATTTCTTTAAATAATTATCTGATCAAGTCCAGTGTTTGACACTGTGTCCTTAAGACAGATTCGTCCTCTCCACAGTGCTTCAGAATTTGGACGTCTATCTCTCAGGATAAAATCACTACAAGAAAAATTCAATGTCACGGCGCTTAAAAAAAGACGCTTTTTGAAAACATCTTTATTTCTCGTTTTGCAAGACCCGTGCCTTCTCTGATGCTTAACTCTACCAGTTAATTAATGAGTTACAAAAAAGAAGAAAAAACAAACCTCTGCCACTCAAACCCATAGAATGTCACTTTTTTTCCAAACATCACAGTCACAGACTCATCACCCTCTCCCCTCCCTTTCTCCTTTTCCAACATTATTCTCTCTCTAAAATGGCACGAATGAAGCTCTCTTTGTAGATATTGACGAAGCAACTGATGATGAAGATTTCAAGTAAGTCTATTGTAGATCAAAACCTTAGATCTTTTATCTCAATCGTTTTTCATTATTTTTTTATTTTGAAATCTTGTTTTGTGCACTCGATTTGACTAATTTTTTTCGAGATTATTCGATCTCTCTTCGATGTTGTTCGATCTCCCTTGATTTTCATTTATCTAGGGTTTCGTTCTTCACGGCGCTTAAAAAATGCAGTGGATCTTTTTGAAAGGGCTTTTCAATCTGCACTCGCTGTGTTCACTCGAGATTCAGAGATTTTCATGACTGCACAGTAGCAATCAAGATCTGTTTTGATTTACATTCTATTAGTTTGATCTCATTCGATTGACTGAAATGGTTGCTTAGGATTTCGATTTCCATTGTTGATCTAGGTGCTCGTCTCTTTTATTGGTCTGACCCAAGCTTGTTTTGGATGATTTTGATTTCGATCTATGTTTTTGTTTTTCTTAGGTATCGGATCTATAACTCTTTTATTTGTTTTAGTTCTCTCAGGTAGTCAGCTTCAATGGTTTTGATCTGTAACTGTATTTTATTTAAATAGTTTTATTGTTTGTTCTACAAATAGGTAGCTAAAAAGATTTATGTATTTTCTCTCACTCTGTGTTTCCTCTTTTTTAGGTTTTTATTTGCTAAAAGATGATTGAGCCTTTTGGGATGAAATATGTTTTAAAGTTGATATTAAATAAATTAAGTTATCATTTTCACCAAATAAGGGTCAAATGGAGGGGTTTTGGCCAAATTTCCCTTATAATTATATGTTTGTGTATGTGTAAACAAAATAAAAGCAAAGAAGAACCTGTGTACAAATCTGAATGCTCATTTTTTAAATACGCCCAGCCTGAAAAGGCCTCTACTCTACTTGTTTAGGCCCGTGGATAGAAAGGATATGCATGTAAGTGTTGTGCTCTCATTCGATGGACTCGTTGCATTTTTTTTTTGTATGTTGTTATGTATTTACATGTTTGATGTATATTAGTGGGATGCATCTAATGGCTTTTCATTAATTCTACTTACAGGGTGGTTCCCAAATCTCATCTAACTTCTTACCTTATTACCAATCTTGGAAGTGAGGGAGAATGAAGTAGTATCCTACCAGAGAGATTTAAAGAGCCTCAGAAAAATGGAGGTTAGTTAAAAGTCACTTGGAAGATTTAACATGTGCCGGCAGCAGATGATCTCTGTCTGTCTGGGAGCAGAGGATCTCTGTCTCTGTCTCTCTCTCACACACACACACATTATTCATCATAATATCAGAGTTCTCATCCAGCCTTTCAAATAAGTTTTCAATTTTTTTATTTTTATTTTTTTGGTTACAGTAATCACTTGTGATGGCCATCTATTGAAACATGGTTTTGGCTTGGAACGAAGTATTTTTGAAGACTGCAGCAAAAAGGGGTTGCACGCAGGAAACCACTGGGGTTCTTTCAATATGAACTCGAGTGATGAGTGTCTGAGAATAGGATTCACCTGCTTTGAGGACTGTTTGCGCTTTTTCCCTCCAGAAATGTTCTCTGGAAGGTTTCCTGCTATGCAAGTTGTCTGGTTATGTATCCTGGACATTTCCATGTTGAAACCAACAGTAAAAAAACTCAGAAAAATGTTCTCACAGTGAATTTTTTTTTTTTTTGCTGTGCTTATGAGAATGTTTACTGCTATGCAAGTTGTCTGGTTATGTATCCTGGACATTTCTGGGCTATACTTTGTTAGAATCATCAGTAAGGTGCTGATCTTTATTAACTATTTAAAAATACTTGTAATAAGGATGTAAATTGAAGGAGTATGCACCTGCGATTCAAGATTATAATAATTTTTTGGCAAAGGCAATTGCAGGAGGGACTGGTCAGTTTGTTAAAGGGATCTTCAAATGCAGCAATGCTTACACCAACCAGGTTTGTTTTCACCAACTTATTAGTACTATATGAAAACAGAATATTCTAACATGCTTGGAAAATATAGTAGTAATATTTTAATTCCTAAAGGCAACATAATGGAAAATGTTGTATTTATTGATCTTCAAATGTTGTATTTGCGGGTGTGCATGTTTTTGTTGATGTTTTGTTTGACAATTATCTTCCATTTTCATAGAACATTGACATTGTGCACTTGGCGGAGTTAGACCTTCTTCGGTAAGTGTCACCAGCTAATCATATACAGTTGTAGATGCTCATTTTAGTATATCTTATTTGAAACCTTTACTTCAGTACCGATGAAACTGTGTTAATATGTGTGTTTAATTTTCAGTACTGTGTCAAGAAGTAAATGCCATGCTTTAGTTGTCAGCTTGACCATATAATATTGATTGGTTTTAGCGCTATCCTCTCATTTTTACCATTTTAGTAACGATCTGTTTACTTGCCTGTGCAGTGTTTGCCCGTAACCATTGATGTGGGGACAAACAATGAGCAGTTGTTGAAAGATGAATTCTACATTGGGCTCAGACAAAGGAGGGCAACTGGGAAGGTCTAATAGTTTTAGCATTTTATTGTGTTTAGTTTCAAGCATTAAGATACATTATGTAATTCTCTTTAATACTGAGGCAGTTTTGTCAAATTGTATTCCAGGAATATTATGACCTTCTTCATGAATTCATGACTGCTGTCAAGCAAAACTATGGTGAAAAAGTACTCATACAGGTGGATTTGCATCCTTAATCTGAAAAAATTTCAGGGCCTGATCTAATAGTTTTGGCTAAAACAATCTTATGTAAGAAAATGAGTGAATTTCTTTTATTTCTTGTATGTTGTTTGTTTTCAACTAAATTTTAAAATTTTCAACTCAACTATTAGTGAATTCTGTTTTCTGTCGTACCAGATGCTAGAAAATGAGAAACTCATTTTCCAGATTTCCAGCGAAACAAACAGAGAATTATTTTATTTTATTTGTCGTGAGCTGATTCTCATCATTCTTTATTGACATTAGAATAGTTAAAGCAAATTATGAACTATATGGACTTGTATTGTATTTCTATTTGTCAAAATTATTTATCCTCTGTTGTTCTGCGCTTTGTAGGGTTTGAAAAAGAAATGTTTACAAGGACGAACGAGAAACAGGCTATGGAAAGAGAAGCATATCCTTGGTCCGTCTCAGATATGTGAAGTGTACACCAAAGAAAACGACACAAACTTTATTTCACTGCTTAGAAAGTGCAAGGTTGGTTCACAGAGTTGACCCTAAATATGTCTAGTGTACTTGTCTGAGCTTCCTATATCTCTCTTATTGGGTAATTTTCAAATTTTTTGTGGAAATTGTGAATGTATTAGTCACTAGGATTAGTTTTGAGAATCGAGTAACTTAGCTATGTGGTTGCCATCTCTTTTTTTTATTAGCAATTCCGAAGTGAAAACAATTGTGAGGATTTTCCGTTTTGGATTTTTTGTTTGTTTGGTGTCTTATTTGCTCTTTTTTATCTTGTCCTGGAAATAATGGATTCTGCATTTTTGCAACTTTTGAAGAGCTAAGGTCGACTTGAGAACAATAAGGATAGTTGATTTGCTTGTGTAGAGCCTTGTAATTGTTGGCAGCAGATGATCTCTGTCTGTCTGAGAGCAGAGGATCTCTGTCTCTGTCTCTCTCTCTCACACACACACACACACATTATTCATCATAATATCAGAGTTCTCATCCAGCCTTTCAAATAAGTTTTCAATTTTTTTATTTTTATTTTTTTGGTTACAGTAATCACTTGTGATGGCCATCTATTGAAACATGGTTTTGGCTTGGAACGAAGTATTTTTGAAGACTGCAGCAAAAAGGGGTTGCACGCAAGAAACCACTGGGGTTCTTTCAATATGAACTCGAGTGATGAGTGTCTGAGAATAGGATTCACCTGCTTTGAGGACTGTTTGCGCTTTTTCCCTCCAGAAATGTTCTCTGGAAGGTTTACTGCTATGCAAGTTGTCTGGTTATGTATCCTGGACATTTCTGGGCTATACTTTGTTAGAATCATCAGTAAGGTGCTGATCTTTATTAACTATTTAAAAATACTTGTAATAAGGATGTAAATTGAAGGAGTATGCACCTGCGATTCAAGATTATAATAATTTTTTGGCAAAGGCAATTGCAGGAGGGACTGGTCAGTTTGTTAAAGGGATCTTCAAATGCAGCAATGCTTACACCAACCAGGTTTGTTTTCACCAACTTATTAGTACTATATGAAAACAGAATATTCTAACATGCTTGGAAAATATAGTAGTAATATTTTAATTCCTAAAGGCAACATAATGGAAAATGTTGTATTTGCGGGTGTGCATGTTTTTGTTGATGTTTTGTTTGACAATTATCTTCCATTTTCATAGAACATTGACATTTGTTTTTGCTATTCTGTCTATAGATCTGGATTTTAGTTTCCTTGAGATGAATCCCTTTACCTTGGTGAATGGAGAGCCATACCCATTGGATATGAGGGCAGAGTTGGATGACACTGCTGCCTTTAAGAACTTTCAGAAGTGAGCTCCTCCTCCTCCTCCTTACATTCTCCTTTGATACACAGTAAATTGATCTGTGAAAAGTTTCATTTAAAATAACCCTATTGTGATACTATCTAATCCTATTTATTTATGAGTTTAGGTGGGGTGTCATAGAGTTTCCTCTTCCCTTTGGAAGAGTTTTGAGTCCTACAGAAAGCTTCATTCACTCATTGGATGAAAAGGTAAGTGCATTACTTTTTATTTATGCATAGTATGAGAAATTTTCTATTTTGAGTAATCACCAATTGTTAAGTTGTAGAAATTTTCTATTTTGGTTTTGGTTTTTATTTTTATTTTGTATATTTAGTTGAGTGGTTTTTTTTTTTTTTTTTTTTGAATTTATTTTTATATAGTTAGTTAAGCCACAAAGTGTGCCTATATATTAAGGAAATGAACTTTTTGACTGTAGATGCATTTTTGACTGTATATTAAGAAAAGTGTGCCTGTATTTTATGCTGGTTTCCCTAGTAAGATCATCTTCAAAAGTATATATCGATACACTATACTATATCCAGAATGGTAGGTGGTGTCATAAAGTTATGAGCATTTTGTCTGTTCATAATTTCTTGCTAGTTCTATTTAGTTAACATGTTGGCTTCACCTTCATTCATCTGTCAATTATTCAATGCCGTCAATTTACTTTCTTGAAGTCCTAAACATTGGGTGTTCTACCTGGAGCTACTATTCTAGGTAATTGTTGCTTCTGGAGCTGTGAAGCATGAGGACCTTGTTGAGCAAGTGAAGAAGTTGTTTACCAAATTGTCATCGGATCCAACCACAACTTCTGAATTAGTTGCCAAAGGGCCAGCAAGTTTTTCAGATTTTGTGTGTTAAATCCTTTGGTTTTTTATTTTTCTTATTTTCCTTGGATCTGACAGTGGGTGTTTTGGTTCACTTCTTATTTTTTGTATTAAATGGGGGAGTGGTGAGAGAGAGAGGAGGGTAATGCTATTTTGTGGCTTTGTATATAAGGTAGTAATTTTTTGATTGAGAATTGTGAATTCAATTTTTGAATATGTTATTTTGTGGGAAAATTAATGCTATATTAAATTGAATGGGAAAGTGAATTAATGCTATATTTGTTATTTGAATGTGAGTTATTATTTTTATTTAGTTTTATTATTGGTGTTCTTTTAGTTCAATCACATAAAATTAGCACAATTTCAAAACCAAAAAAAAAAGAAAGAAAAAAGAAATATAAGACGGTGTTTTTAAAATGCCACTATAACGGTTGGAATTTTTAAAATTTAAAAAACCTATGAAGGCGTTTTAAAAACGTCGCTAAAATCATAGTGACGTCACAGTATTGTTAGGGTAGGACATTTGGCGGCGTTTTTAAAAACGTCGCCTATACTAATATAGCGACGTTTTTCAAACGTCATAAAGTTATAGCGACGGCGGCGTCGTCGTCGGCGTTTGGTACTAAATGTCACAAAAAGAATTAGCGACGTTTTTGATACTTATAGCGGCGTTTTTTAAACGCCGCTAAAAGCCTAATTTCCAGCAGTGAATGATCTACTACAAACAATAGCAGCACTACAAATTGTTTGCCTAACGAACACACTAAGTCTTTATACTCTCTCTGATAAGAAAATAATGCAGCAAAATGAAGAGGATGTTTGCAGAATTATGAAGGACGAAAAATTAGAGTTTTAATCCAAATGGGAGGCTAGTCTATTTATAGATGTAATAGTGGCTGCAGGTTTTGAATTGAACAGGTATGAAACCTGTTGGTTTTGAATTCAAAGATTTGAATTTGTTGGATTACAATTGAAACAGATAACAAAAATGAGAAGGGCCCTGTTTGGGTGCATAGTAAATCCGGACCAGTTTAATTTCGGTTTAAAAACGGAAAGTGCCCTGTTTGGATCTACAGTAAAACCAAACCAGTTTAATTTTGAATTTTGGATTTTATTTTACCAAAAATAAAATTAAATTCAAATGTTTTTGGCCCAAAAAGATTAATATTAGGCTGAACAAGCCCAACCACACACCACGCACCCAAGCCTAGCCTAGCCCGCCCGACTGGAAGGGCGGCGGCGGCGGCGGCGTGCGCGTGTGGTGATTTTTGGGTCCAATAGGTCTAGCCCATTTTGCCCATAACCTCTCTCTCTAAAACACTTGGGTGCCCCTTAGGGCACACCCCAAGTACCAAACCCAAGCCTTATAAACCTATTCAAAACTTCATACCAAATCAATGTGGGATAAGCCAATTTACAACCTTAAGAAATTTTCACTAAAACCCTATTTCCATGGAGCACACTTTGGCTTCAATTTCCCATTCACTCGGTAATGGTTTTGAGCAACCAAATATACCACGTGAATCACAACGCGGCATAGAACGCGTTACCACTTTGACCCGAGTAAATCGACACTCGGGACCCACCTAAAAAATAGACCGAACTTAGGAAAAAATTCTGGTTTTATCCAGAATTTTATAACCATTTCCAACAATCCCCCACATGAATGGAATTTGATGACAACGGAAATGCAACAATATGCAGAGTTAGTTTTTTCCAGCCAAATGTGAGTTATTATTTTATATTAGTGTTATTTAGTTTTATTATTGGTGTTCTTTTAGTTCAATCACATAAAATTAGCACAATTTCAAAACCAAAAAAAAAAGAAAGAAAAAAGAAATATAAGACGGTGTTTTTAAAATGCCACTATAACGGTTGGAATTTTTAAAATTTAAAAAACCTATGAAGGCGTTTTAAAAACGTCGCTAAAATCATAGTGACGTCACAGTATTGTTAGGGTAGGACATTTGGCGGCGTTTTTAAAAACGTCGCCTATACTAATATAGCGACGCTTTTCAAACGTCATAAAGTTATAGTGACGGCGGCGGCGTCGGCGTTTGGTACTAAACGTCACAAAAAGAATTAGCGACGTTTTTGATACTTATAGCGGCGTTTTTTAAACGCCGTTAAAAGCCTAATTTCCAGCAGTGAATGATCTACTACAAACAATAGCAGCACTACAAATTGTTTGCCTAACGAACACACTAAGTCTTTATACTCTCTCTGATAAGAAAATAATGCAGCAAAATGAAGAGGATGTTTGCAGAATTATGAAGGACGAAAAATTAGAGTTTTAATCCAAATGGGAGGCTAGTCTATTTATAGATGTAATAGTGG